GAGCAGATGTGCACGCATGAACACATCAACATTGAAACAGATCAGCAGCAACATGAAACAGATCAGCAGTAACATGATATGGTTTTTCACAGTGATTATTCTAGTTAGAGATTCATGAGTCTAACAGCCTCAGGGTAGAAGCTGTTCCTCAGTCTAGTGGTTCTACACTTAATGCTCCTTAACCTCCTTCCTGAGGGGAGTGGGGCAAAAAGTTTCTTAGTTTGTGTTTTAGAGTTTCAGGACCATGGACAGAGTATATGGGCGAGCTAAACATTTTAGAGTTTCAGAACCATGGACAGAGTCAAGGTGCTGCGCTATAATAATCATCATTTATTAGTTTAAATGTGTTAAGTTTCTTTCAGGTGATTTAACTGCAAGTGATCAGCTCTGACACCTCTGTTCCCTCTGTGTAATAAAATGTAAAACTCCACAGTGGGCTGACAGACACCAGCTGTTTTATGTAAAGAATCATTGTGAACTTACATATTTTCAGTTTTTAATTTGGTGAATATAACCTCTGCTCAGACTGTTGTTCTGCAAGAGACATAGAGCATTATAGAGTGGCCACAGCAGGTCCAGAACCAATCAGAACATATATTAAACCAAAGAGCAGCACACCCAAACAACATCCTGTAATCTGCTTGATTTATAAAGTCACATTTTAACAACTGTGCAACTGAAAGTTAAGGTAAGAATTCCAGTTGATTGATGACTGAAGCTTCACAAGAAAATGGTAAGAAAAAAAACAACGTAATGAGAGGAAAACCTTTCAAACTATGAACTACTAATTTTTAAGGTGGAAATAAATGCCCCTGTCATTATCTGTCAGTATCATCAACAATACTGTAGTTTCTTTACAGCAGGTAATTTATAGCACAGGTGACATAAAGTGACTCTCAAACAGAGCTTGATCACTGGGTTAGCAAGTGGGGTGAAGACTATCAAACAGAGTGCTGTGGAAGGGGGGATGCATTGAGAGGAGAGAAGATTAGGTGAAGGAGGGAAGGACAAAGAGCTAAGTCAAGGAGCATGGGTCATTTCCAGTGTTGATTAAGGCCTCCCAAGATTAATCATGCGAGTGAGAGATAGAGAGGGAAGAGGAGCCAAATGGAGGAAAAATGGATTTGAGCTACGGGAGGCTAGGAAAATGTTTTATTCATGAACGTTTTGCATGAAGCATGATCTGCCAACCATTTACCATTCTCCTGCGCTTGCCTTTGCTCCCTTTATTACTTCTTCTCTTTAAATCACTTACTTTTTTCATTTTTCCTTGCTCGTGCAATGGGGCAACAGGCAGCCTAGTGTGACGCATTTAAGCTCTTTTGTCCTGGCCACAAAAGAAAGTTAATAGTTAACTGCTGTACCGAATGGTACAGCAATAAGTGAGATTTTGCACAATGTAATTTCACTGCAGCGGAAGTGTCATAGTAAAATGTCACTGAAGCCCAAGACACTGGGGGGATAGTCTCGCTTGCTGCATTATCAACTCTTCACTTGTATCTAAAAAATCAACACACTTGCCTTTATTGATCTGCCTTTAATAAACACTGAAAAACAAGATATGACTGACTTGCTGTGCATGATGGAAAGTGCTTGCACACATGCTTGTAGGGAATAAGAAGGTTCATACTCAAGTGTTTAGTTTGAATTCAAAAAACAAATACAAGAATATGTCAAATTATAGTATACAGTAGTCCCTCACTACTTTGCAGTTCGTTTTTGGCAGACTTGATCTATCGCAGTTTTTCAAAATAAGATTGGACATGACACACAATTTGCTGGTTGATGGATGAGCCGCATGATCGGCATGGAGTTTTTATATAAATTAATTGTTTTAAATTATTTAGCACCTGCTGCAACTTTTTGCAGCCCAGAGCTGCAGAAAAAGCTTCCTTCTGCACCTTTGTGCAGCCCATACTGCAGGATAAGCTTTTTCTGCAGCTGATTAACTGTTCTCCGCGCAGAGCGGATAAGTGGGCATGGCCAAGAGCGCTTGCAAGTGGCAATGAGCAGATGAGGCAGGGAGCTGAAATCATGACATTCTGTGCTCTTTTTGATCATTTAGAGTTTAGAAACATTGTTTAGAATATTGCAAGAGTGTGGAAAGGGTTTAAAACGCCTTCATATATATGTAGTGAACCTAACCTGATGTCAAAACTAAGCCTAAGGTCAAAACCCTTGACCTTAAGAACATTGTGGAATTACCTTGACTTTGTTTTCCTTGCTGGATTACTTTTGACTTTTGTTTTCCTTGCTGGATTACTTTTGACTTTGGTCTTCCTTGCTGGATTACATCAAGCTCAAGGACATTCGAAGGCGTAAGTTCAAGTTTGGAATTCATCCCCATGGACAGGCGATGATTTCCAAAGGGGGGACTGTAGTGGACTAGGCCTATGTCAAAACTGACCAGATGGACAGAAACTGTCATTTCATTGATTTGAATCCAGAAATACAGTTTTGACCCATCCTGAGACTTTCTTTCTTGAATTAATCAAGTGGAAAAGACAATTCTCTATGATCATTACTATTTTACAAATGTTTTGATAATCAAATGGTGTTAGTTCAAACAATGTTTACTTGTTGAAGTGAACTACTCATTTTTATTTACTTAAACAGTGGTAATGATTTTTATTCCTCATTCAAAGAAGAAATCAGGGTAATATGCATTTCTTGATTTTTCTGTCTTCAATGAGCAAATTTGTAAGTGTGTTAAAGTTCGAGGTTCGGTCAACTAAAAAGTTTACTGAAAAGAAATGTCATGTTTAACTTTCACAGCAGATACTAGGAGGAGAGACGCCACTAAGACTGGTTTTGTGAACCATAATCTTTCTGTCTGTTCTTAAACAATCCTTGACTTTCCATAACACCTTACATCACAAACCACACCTCTGTTCTGGTCCATCCACGAATCAGAAGGCTCTCAAATGAACCGGAAGTATAGCCCGTTTAAATGTGGCGACTTCCCAGTTCAACAACAGAGATTTTCAGAGTTGAGTTGAGTTGAGTTGAGTTCAGTTCAGTTCTGCGCGGAGAAGTTCAGTTCGGTGAAGCTTCTGAGCAGTTCGGTTCTGCGCTGAGAAGTCGTTTGGGAGAACAGAAGTCCAGCATGATAAGGCTCCTCCGAGTTGGATTATTGCTATTGCTGAGGTGAGCTGGTGTCGGACGGAATCTCGTCACTACTTCGGACGAGACACAGCCATCCTATGGAGACGCTGGACAGGTAGCGTTAACTGGACCTCCATATCTGCTGATTAATCTTCAGAGAGGTAATGAGTCAAGTTTCCTACCGAAGCGTACCGAGGAAGGCTGGGTTCTGATGGAGAGTGTCGGTTCTGGTGAACACTTCCCCTCACATACCATCTTTTACTCCCTTTAAACTCCCATCTTTCCATCTTTAAATTCTTCTCTAAAGTAGAAATCCTTCCAGATATTTTAGAAATGTCTGTGTAAAGTGCTCATCCACCGCCGTGTGGATAATTGATCATAATTGTACAGTTTTCATAAATGTCTGTGGTGAAGCAACGGAAAATCATGGCCGTATGGTTTTCCTGATTGATGGATTATGTTGTTATTTTCATATTTTGCCAAATTAATGTAAATGTTTGATGTTAAACTTTGATTCTGTAAATAAATGACCGCATTCGTTTTGATGGGTC